AGGAACTTATTAATTCCGCCTTCGTGGGTGGGGTCAGCTTATCATTGCTGAGCTTTTACAAGCGCCTTTGAGCAGCGAAAGTGGGATATCCTCTGTGACCGCAAGCTCCGCCATCTTGGACTTCAAAGGAATTTGCACCTCGGTTGATCACGGGCGTTGCCTTTGAGTATATGAAAATTGCAAAATAAAATAATAAGTGACAGCCCATCGCCCACAAGAACATGTTCCATACTAAAGAGAATGCAGTGAATCTACTGGGAAGAAGCTCAGCTTTAAGTTATTGTTACTTTAGCCATATTGTGATTTGAAGACAAACTCATCTCCGTGGATCTTGATCCTTGCCACGTGCGAGATGAGTGGGTGCGCAGGTGCAACGTTCCACTTTCTGCCCTAACGGGAAGATGATGTTACCCGGGTGCCCTTCGAGACTACGCTCACGCTGCCGCACTGCCACCCACACGCCTAGCCATGGAAAAAAGGCGTTACTTGCCTGCTCCCTTCACCGCTGAAAACGTGTTTCTGCGGGATCTTGGTATCCACCTATTGCTGCAGCTCGAGGATAGCGCGGCGAAGTTCCGAACGGCACCCACGACCGCTAGCTTTCAGCTTCGCTTCCGCGCGCGGTCAGAGGCCGAGTGTTTTACATTTGTTTTCTTCTCGCACATGGCAAGGCCGTGTTTGGAGAAGAGTGTGCAGTTTGTCTCCAAGCAAGACGAGCTTCAAAGTAATCTCTGTCACTTCTCAGAGATATATTCAGCGCTGATCACATCGACGAATATACTTGAACAGTTGCACCTTTCCCAATCTGCGCACGTCTCCTCTGGAACCCTAGAACGAGGTGCCCACCAGTAAGGACACTGTAGTTCTGCTAGTGCTCCCTTATCATCTGCGTGAACGCAATAAGCCTTCAAATGAGAAGAGTGAGAGATCAACTTGCGGGAAAGAAGCGTACCTGTCAAGGAATCTGCGTTATCACAAGAATGCTGAGTTGTGGGCAAAAGTCGTGCCCCAGGCGGGAGTCGAACCCGCACCTCACGCTTTCCGGGCGAGTGCGCTATCCGTTACGCCACCACTGGCCGGGCTTGCAGTAGTATATCTAACAAAAACAGGCTTCAAATAGTTGTCATAACAAAACAGCTTCAGACATCTGCGTAGTGTTTTTTTATAGAATAACCTGCGTAGTATTTGATACATAATGCTTCAATGCAAGGTCAGGTACTCGGGACTAAAAAAATTCGATTTTTGATTTCCATGTAGAGCGATTTGGCTCCTCGTTTCCTTTGATTTCGCTTTTTGAACATATTTGATCAACTTTATGAACTTTTCCATGTTGACTTTCAGACCCTCATTTTCGATTTTGGCTCGGAGGTGTACGTATGGAGTGGACGTAATGCACGAAAGACTGCAGGGCGTTATGCTGTAGAGTATGCTCAGCAGTTGGTATGCAATCTCGGCTTTTCACAGATACAGTGCTACATGAACTTTGTTTATTCAGAAAACAAAACGAGTCACGTCGGACTTATCCCTCTTTGGCTCAGAGTTGGGTGACGGGCGTGCGCCTTGGGTACTGTACCTTCGAGTGTTTCAAGGAGTTCAAGTGAGAAATCTTTGGTATTTTACGGCCCGCTTACTGTATACTCAATATTTCCTTTCAGAACTGTCTGTTCGCTGCGAAATTCTCAGATTGGCAAACCAGTGAGACAAAAATTTTCAGCACACCTAAGCCTTTCCAACCGGCGGTGAATTTTATCGATTTTTTCGGATATTATTGATTACTGTGCTCAGCAATCAATGAGCAGGTCTTTAGATACCACTGCAATGCCCTGATGAGAAGCTTCATGCTCGCCTTCTGTCAGATGTCCTTTTGAATTTATCACATCCAGAACCAACGGAAATCTTGGGTAAGTTATGATGGTTTCCATTCAGCTATTGGGTCTGCACAACGACTTTCTGGGGCAGAGAAATGTTAAGAGCAAAGCTTTTGTAGTGTCAGTGGATATCCTTTAGTTGGGGGGGGGGCATGGAGACGGGGTTGGTTGGATTTGGAGAAGCTCGATTGATTTTGATGATACATCCCGCGATGGTATGATGGGCTGAGACTCGTAGCCCTTCTGTCTTCATCGTTGGCCAGCCCTTGCTCTTTACCGAGTACGTGGAGCTGACCAGTGAGGAGCACAAGATGTTTACAAGCCTCCGCCCATCCGATTATCGCGGAATGTGTTTGTAACCACTGCGCTATAATGCGCGTCTTTTCTTGCTGATTGAATAACGAAATGGATTTTGAAACGAACTTTCTGTACGTTTTCAGAAGACCAAGAGCTGACACGTGAAATGAAAGACGTTGTCACCGAGAGTGTAACGTTTTGGCAACTGATCGGCGAGGAGTTGGAACCAATTGAACAGACGAATGTTTTCGTTGATGACTGTTGCTACGTGATACGGTGGCAGTACCGAATTCAGACTTCAGGTTGGCTCGGCATTATTTTCGTTTTCATTTTTCCTAAGTCACTGAGAAAACTGAATGAATTGATACCGCTCACAAAGGTCCGCTATTACAACCCCCCATGCCTTTAATGGATGGGTTTGCAACTGCAGTACGTTACCACTTTCTCTCGCTCCAGAAGTGACATTGTAAACGGGGCATGGAGTGCAGTGTATCGATGACATTCCTGGACCCCCCCCCCGCGAGAGGCGCTCCCCACCAATGCTGCTATTGCGTAGAGATGAGAATATTTTTACGTGCATCACCTAAGCTCCCGTTCATCGTCGCAATGCTCGAGCGGACACCAGTGACGTCTCCGTTAGTCAATGCGAAGCGCTAGAGTTACCCAATGAATGCTGAGCCATGAGGGTATCCTGATTATTAAAAATAAACAAAATAAACACCCATCACGTGGAGAAACACTGGTGTCTAGGCTGCATGTTCACGGTGTTCGTCGTTCTGCGCGTCGGTCAGCTGTCTCCGGAAAAAGAAAACCTGGCGCGAACGAGTTATCATTTCTAATTGGGCTCGGAGCCAAGACGTCTCCGAAACAACAAGGATTATGTGCAGTTCGTTTGTCGCATATGGACAAAGAGAAACATCACCATGTTCGCGTTGCTCATCTCTTTGAACCACCACTCTTCCTCAACCTATTCCAAGGGAAATTCATCATTCAGTGAGTTTAATGATAAACTTTCCTACTTAAAAGCACATGGTACGATCATACATAGTTAGGATGTGCTGACTACCAGCCCCCCCCCCAGCCTGCTCGAAGGGAGCGGTTTCCCCGTCCCTAAAATGCGCAGTGAAGGAGCGTTCCAGAACCGCTGAAACACGCTATTCCTCCCATTCTCCGCCCAAGCCTGTTTTAAGGCGCAGACTCCCATTTATGCTAACACCGTCCGCGCGGCGCGTGTCGCGTGCAGCTCTCTTGGCTTTTTGCCAAGTCCTGTAATTGCGCTTTGGAATACAAGTAAAACGCAATTTCCTGATGCGGATAACATTTGAGGTGCTGCAAAATAAGAACCGAAGATGATGACGAGGGCAGAACTCAAAAGCAACTGCGCTGCTTCTGCCATATCTTCAGAGGCCGCGCATTCCCACAAAACATGAAAATAGAAACGGCCTAAGCGTCACTCGTTAGTTCAATACAAGCAAAACGCAATTTCCTGAGCACTTTGAGGTGTGGGTCATGCTGCACGTCCGAGTAGAATGTGACGAACATGACAAAGGCTAGGAATGAAGAACAACGAATGTTGATGTAAATAAAACAAAAATTTAAAAAAAATAACGAAGTGCATATTAATTGAAATCGCGTGTAAATCTCTGCGATCCGGCGCGAATCCGGCTCTGAAGTCATAGAAATACTTTAAACTAACGAGTGTTGCAACGCTTAGCCGTTTTGATTTCATGTTTTGTGGGAAATTCGGCGGTTGCGCCGTGGGATATTTGCAGAAGCAGCACAGTTGCTCTTGAGTTCTGGCCCTCGTCATCATCTTCGGTTCTTATTTTGCAGCACCTCAAATGTTATCCGTTTCAGGAAATTGCGTTATAATTTTATTTCAAAGCGAAATTATAGGACTTGGCAAAGTGCCAAGAGGGCCGCACGCGACACGCGCCCCGCGGACGCCTATTAGCACAAAGGGAGTCTGGCCACAAGTTGCATTTTGGGCGGAGCATGGAAGAATTAGCGTTCACGGTCCTGTATCTCCATTCCTGAGCATGTTAGGACGGGAAAACCGCTACGCTCCGACAGCTGGAGGGCTGATAGTCACACAAACCCAAATATGCGTGATGCTGTCCATTGTGTCTTTAGCGAAAGTGATTTGGTTATGCGGCAGTTCCACCGCATTTAGAATTATGCTATTTTTAGGCGTTCAAAGCCAGCGGCGACTATTCGCACATTCGTAGTGGTGATTGCTCAACAGCAGAGAGGATACCGCGAATAGAGATCGATTTCAAATATAAGCCTCTTCGATCTCACGCAGTTTTACTGTAGGCGTTCCCCTGAGTCCAGTTGTGGTCATCGCAGTTGGAGATTAGCTTTTGTTTTCAGGAAAAAACCTGGATGTAACATTGTGGACGTGTAGAACTACAAATCCTATAGTCGCTGAATAAGATATTAGAGAGCAAAAAAGCAAAATCACGTCATGGAAGAACACCCTAAGTAGAGACGTAGCAGCCTCGCTGGGCAAGCTCTACGGATCTCCTCGTTTTACGCCGGCAAAGCGATATTCTGCCACCTCTAGCTCAATAATCTTTTCTCCGCGTCATCTAATACTAACACCACATAACAACAAAAAAAAAACAAAAAAGGTGAACATGTGGCAGAAAAAAAGCCTTTGAATTTTGGTGGGTGGGACAACTGAAATGGTGTCAAAGATGCCACTTATTAGGGCCATAGCGCCTTTGCCAGTTAGTGTGGAGCTGAAGTGGGATAATCTTGGAGACTGAGAGGCAGACGATTGTGCAAGGAAGGACGAGTTAAGTCAAGCGCGGGTCAAGTTCAACGGAGCCTCCAGTAGAAAACTAATCAAAGGCGCTTTGAGTAAGAGACATTGTAAGTGAAAGTTATCACAAGAATGCTGAGTTGTGGGCAAAAGTCGTGCCCCAGGCGGGAGTCGAACCCGCACCTCACGCTTTCCGGGCGAGTGCGCTATCCGTTACGCCACCAGGGCCGCTTTTACCCTCTCAGCTTGACGGCTTTTATGCCGTAGCCTATCAGCAACGCACGTTTATAAACCCGCTCGCAGCTCTAATAGGCTACGGCATAAAAGCCGTCAAGCTGAGAGGGTAAAAGCGGCCCTGGTGGCGTAACGGATAGCGCACTCGCCCGGAAAGCGTGAGGTGCGGGTTCGACTCCCGCCTGGGGCACGACTTTTGCCCACAACTCAGCATTCTTGTGATAACATTCGGAACGCGTACTGCGGCGTTAAACAGCAGTTATCATAACAAAATTGTAAGGAAAGTAAAAGTATTTTTTCCACTTTCTCTTAGCCCCTGTCGCCAAGTTTCACAGTCATTCCACGGTTTCCACATGCCAAGGCTCTGCAATCATAGACTGACCCTTCCCTTGTGAACAAAGCCTTGCTCCTAAGTGGCACTTTGACCACTAACAATAATCCGAGCGAAGTGTGGCCTAGTATGGTGAGCACCGACTAGTCTGACTACAAAGGATTTTTCTCTTATTTCGAACTCTCGACTAGTTCAGTATTTCACTTTTGACGAAAACATTCAGTACAGAATTCGATTATAGGCAACTTGTTGTACAGGAAGGTGGTGTCGTGGTATCGCACGCGCCGTAGAGGGGCAAATCCCGCAGCAAGTCCCGTCCGGGTCCACCAAGGCTCCCATCACTCCATGTATAATCTTACTTCCCATTCGCAGCATCGCACTGTTCCCTGACGTAAGAGACGCAGACACAGAGATAGTCAACAAATCACAGCGCTGCCACGTTGAGTGGATTGGGTCCTAGTGCGAATGCTGCGCACATCACATGTTTGTGGCGCTTCTTTCGCCGCGCCTGGAAGTTAACGCTATACAAGCCAATCCCTCGTGGTCGGTTGATAGGTACCAGACTAAAGATGAAATGATAAATTCTTCGCCGTTAATCAATCCCTTTGTGGGATGCGGCACGCATTCTACTTCCATTCAGAATCGTAGTGGCTTATTGAATGCGATGTGGCCTATACAATGACTTGCGGGGCCAGCCGATGTACAAGTCAGTGTTTTATCCTCCCAGACGAATCTGGTACCAATTTACCGTCCCCGGAGGGTAGAAGGCTTGGTTGGCCTGGGCGGGAGTCGACCCGGGATTTGAACCCGGGACCGCGCGAGTGGTAAGCGCGCCACTTGTCACTACAGCACCTTCGCTTCGGTACCACACTAGGAAAAAAGTGACTTGTACATCGACTGACCACGGAATTCATTGTATAAGGCGAGTCTTGGTCAGAATTTTTTTTAGTTTTTGGGTGGAAGTAGAATGCGTGACGGCTCCTAGAGCTTTATCCTTTCATCCTTTACCCCTCAATATTTTCATGTTATAATCGTGTCAATACCAGTTGTAATAGTGGCGAAGGACACTGTGTGTTTCTAGGGTTATCCACTGAGAACGTGATGGTGGAGAATGGATTGGCTCTAGCAGAAGCCATATGTGATCTCCCAGATATCTTCAATCTGAAGGTGAACGTGAATTCGATTGCATCTCTCCGTTTCTCACCTACCCTACTGTTTTGAAAACTTAT